TGTTGTTTAAATTTGAAACAAACAATAGGCTCCAGCAGTACATTCTAAAAAAATAAATAGTTTATTATTAATCCTCCTCCCTTACATTTAAAAAAAGATTTTTAGCTCACCTGAGGTGAAAGCTTTTGTGAGCTTTTCTGATCACCCAATCCACAGCGTTTGTCTGTCTGTCTAGCTGTCCGTCTGCAAGTTTTCACATTTTGACGTCATCTCAAGAATGCACTTGGTACAAAGCATCCCTTGGTAAAACCAATTGTAAATTCTAAATTGTTAAATTGGGGGGGGGGGGGGGCAAGCCCCTTTCCAAGGAAAGATAATCAAGAGAAAACAAAAATATGGACGGATCATTAAAAAATCTTTTTCTTTAAGAATCACTAAGCCAGAGAAGGTGAAATTTGAAGCTCACTGAGGGAATGTAGATTCTAAATCATTCAAATCATGACCCTTGAGGGTAGATTGGGTCAGAATAGGGAGTCACAATTTTACATTGAAAAAAAAATAGAAAAAAAAAACCTTTAAAAATCTTCTCAAGAACCAGCATGATACTTAGGTGAAAGCTTCCTTCGGTAGTGTAGATAGTAATTATTCAGATCATGGTCCGCAGGGGTAGGGTGAGGCCACAATAGAGAAAGTTTTACATAGGATTATAGAGGGAAAAATCTTTAAAACTCCTGTTCTCAAGAACAGCAAAGCCATGTTGAGTCAAATTAATGTGGATTAAGCTTCCTCAGATGATGTTGATTCAAGTTTGTTGAAATATTGAACCTCTTTGGTAGGGTAGGGCCACAGTAGATGGTCATTGTTTTTCATAGGAATTTATAGGGAAAAAATTTAAAAACCTTTTTCTCAAGAACAGCAAAGTTGTGATTAGTCAGATTTATATGAAAGCTTGACCTCTGGTAGTGTAGATCCATTTTTATTAGAATATGGCCCCTGTTTATAGGGTGAGGCCAAAGGCGATTAAAATTTTATATATTAGGAATACATGTATATTGGGAAAAAATCTGATGTAGAACAGCAGGTCAAGTGACTCAGGTGAGCACTGTGGCCCATGGGCCAATTGTTTTTTATCGATATTCTTGTAAAGTTGTAAGTTTAAGTTAACTAGTGCAAATTTTATTTTTGTCCATAATTACTCTTGGTGACAAAGTATTTACATTAATCTCACAAATGGGAGATATTTCTCTTCAACATATAGACCCCCAAAAAAATATTGTGATGGCATGTAATTTTTTACATTTCTGGTGTATTTACTTATCATTAGGGTATTTTCTCTCCCTTGTATATGCACAAATCAGCAGAAAAATGACATACATATATTTTCACTTTACAGTGTACATGGATTATGATGAATGATAGTATATATTTTCATAATAGCAAATGAATTTTCAGGCTGAGTGCTTCTGAATGGCTAGCACATGGTCTTTGTGGTGAGGTATTTAAGTTATGTTTTGACGGATTGGTGTCAGGTTCTTGGCTTTTTTATGTCTATGCCCTATCCCCAGCCTAGGAGCCGTAAAAAGCCAGCTATCTGACAAAGTCTCAAGTCTATTGGTTGAGAAAGGAAATTATTGTAATGTCAGCCACCTCTCTCGGTACTATGCTCCAGCATCTGTAAGGTGAAACTTCATGTATTTTTATTCGTCTTTTTTAATCTACAGTTATTATGTGATACGAGAACATAAATTTACGCAACTTTCAATTTTCTTGATACAACAAGCTGACACTTTTGAGAAAGAAACTGGATATTCTTTAAGGAAATTGGTGGTGAAACGTGGTGGAATTAAGGCGAACCATCACTCTGTAATTATTTATGTTTTAATAAACAAGGGCCTCAATCTGTAGTGTAATAATTCTAAACACTTCTCCTGTTATTGCCCGCACGTGAAACTTGAGTTCTACCAAGTCTCTCTTTTTCTGCAAAAGTTTTTGGATGAAAAGATTTTTTGTGGCAGATATTTTTTTTTCGGAAAGGAATTTTGAGAGGATCTTTATCATCTGGGAGTTTTCCTGCAAATTTCAAGACTGTGTACATATGTACAGTATTATATCTTATCATTGAGAAGTCTGCAATAAAGCGTGTGATAAAGCGATATTTTTTTCCCCCTGAGGAAAGAAGGGATACAGTAAAGGATAACTGGATAAGCTTATAACAATGTCTCAGGGCTACTTGGTTTTACAAAATCCGGCTAGTGAGATCGGAGAGGAGGTAAGTGTCAGAATTTTCTCAAACAAATGTACCTCTTGATTAGCCTAGGTGTTTGATATTAAATGAACTTTAGTTATTCATCTCATGCATTTTGTATGTAGCTTTTGGGGTAGTTTTAAGATGATAAATGTAGCTGTATTGAAGTTTCCTCATTTGCACAAATGGTGTTTTAATCATCACATTGTAAGCTCCAGGGGTGTTTTATTAGGTAAAATATGTAAGGAGATCATCTTTTAGGAAGTGTGAAATCTTGTGTTCAGATGCATAGGGAGTTATATATCAGGGAAAGAATTTTGAGGTTTACTGCTGTAGAGCAGTGTTGTAGTACATGTAAAGGGAAAGAATTTTTCTTGATCTCAGGTATCAGTTGCAGTAGGTACGGATAATATTTCAGGGAGAGAACTTTTTTCTTGATTATTACAGCAATTTCCCATGGATATAGATGTTTTAGTTGTTTTAATACACTGCATTTAAAAAAAGAAAGAAGATACTTGCACAACTGCACAGGTACACTTGAATTGTGGAGTACATGTAGTTGAGCTTAAACCTTGAACATTTTTTAAGGTTTGTGAGAAGTTTAATTAGATAATATAATGAATATAAGATAATTCAAATTGTCGGGGTCCATGTGCGAATTATTTCTCGTGAATTTGACAACATATTCCCCATTTCTAAAATCAATCATAATATAATCATCTCAGTTAGATGGGATTACATTTTCCAAATAACATGAACCAACTTTTTGGGCTTGTTATAACTGTTCCCAATATAAAAAGACATTTCTTATAGAAGTAATGAAAACGTTAATTATTATGTGCTATGGAAATGCCATGGTGCATTATTAGTCAGTCAGGTTGAATTGATATTGGCCATGCAGATTGATCATTTGGACAGTTTTAGGATTTAACTGTTTTTTGGGAGGTAAGGGTGAGGGCCGGGTCTTGGTCTTGTGTTTCTTTTTCATTTTTCTATAACAGGTGAAATTATTAATATCAATGTACAACCATAAAAAGTAGGTGCTTACTAGTAATTATCTGATGTGTATAATAAATCATTTTACAAAAATAAACAACGAAGTGGATTGTGTGTGTATTAAGTGCATTTTTAAATGTTTGCAAATATTTCATTTGTAAAACTTCTGATTGGTCATCTCTTACCAATTTTGTTGAGAGTAAATTAAATGATAAAGTGCTGTTCTAAAGTAGTTTTAGAATAAAGAAATGATGCAGAATGTACCTTCTAAGTAGAAAGTTTTTTTTTCCAAATTATTCCAAATGCACTGTTTCTAATTGGACAATATTTCTGAGAAAGTTTCCAAAAATATCTCCGATAAGGACCCCTGGTAATATAAATTACACAGGCATTTATCCTAAACACCTGGTGTTGGTAATGTTAATAGGAAAGACTCTTGGATCCCCCTGTGTGAGTGAGTTTACAAAATACAGCATGATGGGAACTTCTTGGCACAGGGCACAGCAGATGATAATGAATGTTTCTTTTATCACAGCAATTAAGTGAGTCATTGGCCAAGATCATGTCTTAGTCTGATATTACCTGAAAGAAACAACTTTTTGCTATCAAGACCTCCTGACAACAAGTTCATTTCTCTGTTGACACATTTTCAGGGCAGACGACACAATAGCTTTTTCCATTTTCATTGATATTCATGTCGCAAAACATTCTGTCTTAATGCATCCTCTGCAAAACATATTGATCAAAGATTTCTTTTGCTGATTTGGATGTGATCTGTACCCACCTTTGTGCATAGATGACAAGGGTCACTGGTCATAGACAAGCCAATGAGCCATAATCAGCACTTTATTGTAATGGAACATTTCAAGAGGGCAAATTAACACAGTACTGAAAATTATTGGCTGATTGTTTAGGATAATGTTGTGTGGTACAGGAAATATAATTTCAAAAAATACGAGTTGTTGGACAAAGTTGACATTTACTAAAAAAATATTGTGAATTAATTGGACTATAAGTATGTTGTTCAGCAGTGTTTAGTTGCATTTCCTCCACATGACACTGGGATAATGCAGTGATATCATTTCTGTGCTTTGTGACCGTGTGTTACTTTCATGTGTGTAACATATCTGGGCTCTCATTAATGGTAAGATTTTGCTAGGTGAAGGTCTAAAGTTTGGTAGTTTCTGAGAGAGTTTCATCATATTCAGCCTCTTTGTGTAAACTGACACATCTGGATTTCATGAGAGTGAAGGACAGCAGAGAGAGAAAAACCAAAACCAAATCATCAAATTATTTCAACATCAAGATTGTCTGTACTAGGAGGGCAGAGGGGCCATGTTCTAATATAAACAAAGGCTCATTACATCCTGTGTGCAAGTCAGAAGGTTTGATAGTTTCCTGTTTAAAATAAGTGCATAATTAAACTAAAAACTGGTGGAAGTCTTCTGCTACAGTGCAAGATTTTGAAAGGTATGCTGAAAATAAACAAAAAAGTCATTCTAGGAGAATTCTAATTTTTGGGGGCTTTGCTGAAGAGAAAGTGTGTTGGGAGATTAAATTTCAGAGGAGGAATTTCATTGCAGTTGTGCTTGCCACTTTCTTATAGTGGAATTTTTATGGTATATGTGTTCCCAAATATCATTTGGCTGTGAAGAGATTTTTGCAAAGGATATTCACTGATACACAGCAAAGATGTTTCTCCCCATCACTGAGTTGTACCTGTTGAGTTAATCATAAATTTGGAAAGGGATTTTTGTGCACCTCATAAGAACTGAAATATTATTGCAAAGGGGGATGTGTTAAAAATATTTCTGTTTTTTTTTTTTGGAAAACATAAACAATGTCTTCTGGTGCTAGTAATACCCTAGGTGGAACTACAGGGAGTAGAGGCCCTGCCCCTCCTTTGCCAGAGAAACCGCCTTCAGTGGCCGAAAGGACAAGATTGTTGAAATCAAGTTTTCGGAAGGACGATGTGGAAAAGCCTAAGATAATGGAAAAACACAGCAGTCCTGTAGTAGAAAGGGCAGCAACACTGCCCCCGGCCAATATGACCAATGCTAGTACAAATGGGGAGAAATCAGAAACCCCTTCCCCATCGGGCAGTGTGAACTCAATGTCTAGTATTGGCAGGTATAACAATGATAAGTTGATGGACAGCAACAAGGAGGCTTCACTGAATTACAATACAGGAGGTGTAAGTATACACGTGTGAATGATATTATATCTCCCAATACTACACGTACAGTATTGTAGGCAAAGTACATGTAGTACTAGTTCATTGTTGGATTACTACAAGGTTGCAAAGAATAGGATTTGAAAGTATAAAATCTAAAATTAAAAAATTGAAGCATTAAAAAATTCTTGAAGTAGGCTCTCAAAAACTTACAAAGTATCTTGATAGCTTTGATGACAACATTGTCTAACAAAGAAGGAAATTATACATGTTTAACTGATTGTGTCTTGTGATTTTGATAGTGAAAGTAGTGGTTTTTAAGAATAAGTTTGTATTATGTCTCAAAGGATTGGAGTTTATCAGCTAACGGGGGTATGTACATGAGAAAACGAATGCTTAGAAAACAGGCATTGAATAAAGTAGCATTTGTTAAAAAAGGGAAGAAAAAAATTACTGAAAATTCAGATGCATGCCTCTGCTGTTTAACTTGATTAGATTAGGTGGAGCATAGAGAGCTGTTTGAAACTTTTGAAGAAATGCCAGCTGAGATGCACATTACTTGGGTAGTGTGATTGCAAGGGATATGGAGGAGGTTAAAGATGTAGAGATTGTTTGAATGATAATGTGAAAAACAAGTTAGAAGTCCTACATACAAGGGCTTTGATGTGATCAGGCTTCCCCTTGCCAGCATCCTCTCAATGCATGTAGTTTTAAAGTAGGTGCCATACTATCACTTGTTTGATGAACTTTTTCATTGTAAGGGACTTGTTTGTCATTCAAGCATGCCCACAACAGCTGTGGTGTATGACTGTGCATCAGACTGCACCTAATTGAATCACATGATTGGTATGTCCTATAGTTACCCACAGCTATGCACATATAGTACATTAATGTGTAGTGTAGGAGTACTTGAGAAAATCTATGATCAGTGCCAGCACATGTTAATGGGTTATGGTTCATTAACAATAGCCCCAGGAAGATGTTTTAATGAGAAGATTGGTCAGTCATTAGAGTGGTTTGTCCATTTTATTGGGTAATGTTGATCTGACATATGCTGGGGTTGGTACATGTATGCAGCACAATTATGATGATTATATTCAGGGTTCTCATTAACGCAAGAATCTGCGTCCTAGACGCAGTAAAATTCCTTGGGACGCAAGGTTCTTAAAAACGATGCGTCCGCGGACTCGTGATCGGACGCGTCCTCGTTAGCGAGAAAATTCGGGAGATTTCGAAAACGGGGAATTTAGATGTTAGGATTTGTCAAAGAAATATTTAATTGAAACCTTCATGTAACTATCATAAAGTTTATCCAAGAAACAACTTTTCTTGTACTTATTTCACTTTTTTTAAACAGGGATTGATCATAAGATATTTCATGTTTATTAGTCCAGTCATAATAGTGTCGCATGCCAAACTTAAAAAAAAAACACTTTTGAATCTTGAGTGTTATCTACATGCAGAAACCATAATTACTGCTTGTATACACAATGGGGCTTGATTATCTCGTGAATTTCACCCAGTGCAGACGACCGACAGGATTAGTTACGCCTCATTGCACATGACACCTGTGATTGTACACAGTCAACTTTTGGGTACTAGTTGATTATGCAACAGTTAATTTTAGCTTTATAAACACCAAGTTATTTTATGGCAATTGATTACGCGTGTATTTTAGAATATGGCTTGAATGCATTACCAGTTTATATACTTGAATATGTTAATATTGCGTAAACAAACTGATAAAATGAAAAAGATTTTTATTGATGTTTGGATGGAAGAATACTGCAATATTTTAGTTGGGACTCAACATAATTTTTCTGGGACGCATCAAATTTAGCTGGGACGCAACCTTCTCAGAAATCTTGAGTCCTGGGACTCAAGTTAGCAAAATCCTAGTGAGAACCCTGTATATTTCATGCTCAATGCTAACAGAACAGAACATTTATTTTCTAATTTAGAGCCCATAACAGACAAGTATGAAATTATTACAATAATAAAGGAAAGATATGCCAGTGGATAGTATAACAATTTGTAAATGACATTGCTCATTTCAACAATAATATTGTACTATTTCAGTTAAAGGGAATACTATATATAATGTGTATGGCTACTACAATATGTTATCATTTATAAATTTGCCCACAGAATTAAGAGTTTCTTTGTCTTCAGTATTGAGTAACCAAAAAAGTTTTTGTTCATCAGATAACAGATATAGGAGGCCTTCAAGTTTGTGTGTATTCCTCTGTGTCTCCGATCAATAATACTGTAATAGGCACATTCTATTTTTAAATCAGAAAAATCCTATATTATTTCTTGTGTAATATGACAAAGATGTCATTAGAGTTGTACATTAATTCAGTAGTGTTGTTTTCCTTTCTGAAGAAGCATGTGTATAGCTGTTGGAAATGCTCTATTTATAACATCTCATCACGCAAACTTAGTTGTTGTACACTAAGGTTGTTTTAATGTTATCATTGCCCTGTGTGATAGTAAAATATCTGCCCTGGGGCTGTTTTTAGATACACTTCTCCATTAACTATACACACAGGCTGCTTAAAAATGGAAGAAAACCCCACAGGAAATGATTCATCCTAAAGGTCAAGGTCAAAAGTTCTTTCACTTCGCTTACTACATTTGTATGGTAACAACTGTTGGTAAAAAAGGGCCTGCTTGCTTTTAGTTCCGTGTGGCAAATTTTCTGTTTGGAAAGGAAGTTTACTTCATAATTAAGCCCTCATTGTGTGTGTTCTAATCAATAGAACTGGGAATGCATATTAGCAGTTGTTGGAAAGAACTCTAATTACTAGAAGAAAGCCATGGATAAAGCAAGCATAGTAAGGAGTTTATGTGTTTTTGTAGTTTTTCGGTTTTCTTGCTTGTTGCATTAAGAGTTTATGGGATGTGCATTATGTTCATTCAAGTACCTGTAGAAAAGGAATTAATTAAAGGATGCTACAGTGCATGAAGAGATGCCCCAGATTTTATCCATTGTAAATAAGAGTCCATTGTTATTGTCTTTTTTATCTGGGTCAGTGAAAAGGGATAATGTACACATCCAGGCAGATTAACCTTATTAAAGTGAATAATTTGGTATCTCTCTGTACCTTGTGTTGTAAAGGAAACAGATAAGATTTAAAATGAATGCATGAGGATTTCCTTTGGAACAGGAAGGTGCAGTGTGTTTTACTTAGCTGTTGTTTTGGGGAAGATATTGCATATTTTGATAATTCAGCTGCAGTGTTTACACTTAGATGTATATTTAAAAAAAAAAAAAAAGACTCGAGGTTTTCTATTATTAAACATTATTTCTTGACATTTTTGTTTGTAATACAATAATGATTTTATATGTGTTTTTATACAGCTTCAAAATATTTTTTTAAAAGAAACAGGGAATAATATTACTGTAACAGCTGTATGAATTATGCAGTTGTTTGATGCTTCAACACAAGACCTTTCAAATTAGCTTTTGAAGGAGGTCTTGAACAGAGCCTGTCATTGGATATAGTTAGCAGTTCAGTGACATATATGTGCTCTGTAAATGAAGTATATGTGCAGAATCTGAGACACAGGAAAGCTCTCATTGAATGTTTTTTATTGCAAACCTATTAACAAAGACTTTTAACCTATATGTTTAAGAGGTCTTTAAAAAAGTAAAATCAGGCAATGGTTAGATGTTGGCAAGTGCCTTGAGTATTTATGTATTTAAGAGGATAGTTTTGGTCCTCTAGAAGGTGTTTGCTTTATGATTAAGTTTCTAAAGAGTTGTTTGCTCTTCACTATTAACCTCAGATTTACTAGAATAGAAGGACTCAGTCAGTCTGGGTATTTTAGAGTTCTTAAATGGATTTGACCTTTCGTGACAGCTAGGGCCGAACTTTCTAATGTGCAGGAAATATTTTTCTGTGCCATGTGAAATGTGACTCCTGGCCTTGCTGAAAAACAATTAATCATACAGACTGGAAGTGTATTGATAATTTAAATATTTCCCTTTCAGTTATGAGTTTGGCCTTGTCACAACAATACTTTATTTTAGTTTAGCAATAAGGAAATTTGTGTTTTTTAGCATTGAAATTATTTAAACGTTTGTACATGATAACCCCAAATATTAAGCAAATTGAGCATTATTAGATGTACTTCATGTAAAATGGTTGATATTTAAAACTTGAGAAATATTTACTTCAAATTTATTATTAGTCAGTAGAATGATACTTATTTACTGAGCCATTTTTGAGAGAGAATAGTGTAAACTCTTAAGTTTTCAAATTTTTTCCTCCATACAGTTGAATGCAGCCAAAAGGGAGGCATTCTTTAAAGGCAGTGAAAGTGGCGGACCAAAGTTTGATCCTTCACAACGTTTCGCGGCGGACAGAGAGCGGATTCCACGGGAACCACACAGTGGCCACACATTAAAAGATGCTGATGAACGAGAGAAAGATTTACACCACAGGGAAAAGAAATATGGAGACAGCACAAAAGAATTGGATGGTTATGTTGGTTTTGCAAACCTTCCCAACCAAGTATACAGAAAATCTGTCAAAAGGGGATTTGAATTCACATTAATGGTTGTTGGTAGGTTAACACTTGGAGTTACAAGGGTTTTATGATGTTTGATAGACAAACATGAGATTCCTTGCAGATAATCATTTGCTGTGATGTTCTGAAATTTTCTCATAGATTTTTTTGGATGTTCATAAGGTCACTGTCAGCAGGAATATTTACTACCATCTTATATCATGTATATGCTGTGTTATTCTGGGAAACATCCAAGCTTTTGTTAAGCTTCTGTTCTGTTCTATCATGATGGAGTACTAGATAGAAAATGTACTCTATACAGCTTTGCATAGCATGATTTTATGTGTAAAAAAAAAATAATCAGGTCAAATAAGAAAAGAAAAAGACACAGTTTGAAATTCTGTTCATAAGTTCCATTTATTCTCGTAACTTGTATATATAGAATGGTGGACTCTACATCAGCTATCTTTTTTTCTGTCAGTGTTTTTTTTTTTGAGCAAAAAATTAACAGGGTATTCATGACTGATTAAATTCTGATGTTAACAGAGGCAGAACAAAAGTCAGATAGAACATATGTACAGTGTCTGAATCTCTGCCTTACATTCCCTCCTATTCAGACTCTTGGCTACCGTTTATTCAGCATGTTGCTCTGGAGGTGGCTTAGGCATTATGATGAAATTGGTACACAAAATCTTTGTCAGTGCATTATTTTCCTCTAAAGAGAACTAACTGCACACTGCATATTTTCAATCTAAAAAGGGTTAGTTTTTCACTCTTAATATTTTTTTTCTGGAATTTTTCATCAGAGAGTTATGTAATATTGGTAACATGAGGAAATGCTGATCTTGGGAAAGACAGGATTTTGCATACATTTTTCAAGGGGGTGTGCTGTCAGATGGTTTAAACTTTTAAATAACATTGGAGCATCACTCAGGGCAAAAATATGTTTCTTATGTAAACAGATAGGAAGAAAAAAGAGAAGCCTCTGACTTGAGGGTTTTTGACATTTTAATGCTGATCCAGTCGATAAAACAACTTGAATTTTTAACTGAAAACTGAGAAGACCAATAATTGCTGAAAAATTTTAATATGGTGTGAAGTTTTTTTGCTCGCAGGGAGTCACAGATGGGTGACATTTCTATCATTTTGGGGAATTATTTTGCACTAAAAATGAAAAGTTTATGTATATAAATAGTGTTTATTACATTCTTCTATGCATGAAATGACACTAGGTGAACAATTGGAGTTTTTCTTAAGGTGTTGAAAGCAATGTTTTTCTATTAATTCTAGTTCTCTTTTCTACATCATTGTTTTGTTAAAGATTTAAAAGATACAGAAATTTGGTTGATGTAGTACTTTTCAATATGAAAAACATGCATGGTGACAGAAAACTGTTTTTGCAAGAAGATATTCCTTGATCATATTCTTCCCATTCATTGTTGTATAGATTTGAAAGCTAGGAAATCTTTTCACGCTGAGTTGACAAATTCCAAGCCACTTATCTTCTCTCATTAGATAGACTTGGTTATTAGGCCAAATAAATGTCAGGGCCCTGTAATCTGCTGGAATGTCATCAAAATTATTTTCTGGTTCAGATCTTTTGATACTTATCCTAACTTATGTAATTATTGTCCCACTAATACAAGTAGATACCAGACCATATGTAAGGGTTACATCATTCATTGGGTATGGGAGAGGTGGGACCAATTGCCATTGAAAATGGAAAATTATGAACTAACAAGCAACATAGAAATTTCCTTTGCCCACCCTAGTTCAAATTCTGCAGGATGGGTTGTGTGCAAGATATTTTGTTTACATTTTAAATTTTTTAGACATTACTTTTCTCAGAAAAGTAGATTTAGTGGATACCTTGCCCAACCCCTTATCACAGGTGATTACTACCCTTTTAATTTTGTTTACATGGGGAAACTTACAATATCTTGCTATGATGTACATGGTAGGAAGGTTGATTTGTATCCATTAGAATGTATATATGTTGAATGGGAGGGATTAGTGTAGATTCTAGACCAGATCATGACTCTGAAACACAATGGGATGCTCTTTATTAAGGTCACCTCAAGGGTATTCTGATCAAGATGAAAGAGGGTGGATAACAAAGATCTATTTATATTGTTGTTCTAACTGTGGCTGTCTAGGAATTCAAAAGTCCATGGGAAAAGAAAACAGTTTGAATGTAGAAAATAACATTGAAAAATTCAGGTTCATTTGGGCTGTACAGTCCCAGACTAGCATCAGCATTGATTTTTTTGCTCCTTCCATGATGTCCCTTTATTTTCTCTGGGGAAGTTTAGCTCTAAGGCAGGGTCACCAGTTTGTCTGCATGCTATTGATTTTACTCTAGGTTTATAACTCCATGTTGAGCTCTTTTGTACACACAGGCACGTGCATAGAGGCGGGCATTATCAATCTGAGAATGGTGCATAGTGCAGGCTTAATCAATTTGAAAATCATTGCAGTGAAGTAGTCAGTGTGTTGAAGACCTGTTCATAGTCAAATGAAGTCACATATGTTATTTTGAAATATTAATGAGGTTTCATTTACATGAGCGTTATGATGTTAGATTTTTAAAGGCCATTAAAAGGGTTTTAATGACAATTAATAACTATGTATTGTGTATATTTCTAAATGCATAAGTGATATTTTGACTGTGAAAGTGATTACTGAGGAGTCTTGGGGGTCAGTGTTTGTGGGCAAGCAAAGTTTTACACCTACTGTAGAAATTTTGTAAAGTTCTGCATAAGTGAATGATAAACTAAGTTCTAGACTAAAAGTTTGTTAACTATTCACAATTAAAGTTTACAATCCAGTAAGTGTACTTGAAGGAAAACTCGGAAAAGTGGATTTTTTAAAATCATTAGTGATAGATTATCAACATTAAACAGCTGTGCTCTGTTTACAGCAGGTACATGTAAACAGTAATACAAATTAAGTCAGTTGTCGAACTGAAATGAAAATCAATTTCCTTGAGAATCATTTTAATTATATCTTGAAACAGAGTTGGCTTGCTTAAAAATTGCTGTAAATTGCAGTTACACTGATAACGCTATAGCTTGTCGCTGAGGGGTATGTGAAGGTAAATGTCATCATTTGTTGAGGTTGAAACACCTGAAGTTTCCTGAGGACAATGTCCTTTTTTTGTCTTCACAGCTGGATATTTTTAATTTATTTGTCCCAGGATAGGATTTCAAAATTAATGGGGAGGATAATTATATGCTAGGGTTACGAAAAAGTTATTAGTTATAGATGTTATAGATAAACAGTATTCTATGATAATTATGTTTTGAAGAATGAGTTACTCTTTACAGGTAAGATAATATATATAAAAACAATGACAGGATGAAAAGACAAGTGCACACAACAGTGGTGCTGAATGTGCTCATTGCATTCATAAAATGATTCTTTGTGTGACTCCGTAACGTAAAAAGTAGCACACTTGGATTATGTTTTAATTCTCTTGACACCTGTCAGGGAGAAGTCCTGATTTCTTCCGTGTCACAAGGACCTACATTACTTATCAGGATTCGTGATACTGACAGATATATTACATCTTATTATACTAAATATATTTACATTTCAATTTTAATTTACATAACACCTGAAGATCGTTTACTTGTATGATGCAATTATAAAAAAAAAATTGCACTTTAAGCATTGTGGTCTTCAAATAAATCATTTTCATAGACTATGTAGATATTCAGTTTTCAACTGTTTTTGGCAAAGTTTATTGTTAACAGACCTTTTTTTCTGGGGATGGTTTCGCTTATCAGATTTTTCTTTCATTAGTGAATCAATCACAGGTTCTTGAATATATATAAAATATGGAGAAAGTAACCTATAGTAAATGATTACAAAACACATGGTACAAAGCCCATGTTTCATTAAAGAAGGGTGTATTTGTTTTTTTCCTCCATGATTCAATGTTTAGTGAGAGTGTGCCAGTTGTTTTATCTTCTCTCTTCCTTGTGGCATCTGCGATGAGTTGTGTATAACAAATGTTAGGTGCCATGGAAACTCTTGTTGCATCTTTAGATGAGATTCCCAGATATTTCACCATCATCCTATTAAAAGAAGCTTTGGGTTGTTAATTTTGTGACCCTTCAATCTTTTTATCCTTGGCAGAAAAGATAGCTGATTTTTTTTAATCTGTGTATTGTTAACGTTTATGTATTTATATCTATAGCATCCATGTTTATCAGTTTAATTCATAAGCACTGGCAGTGAAAGTGTTAAAGAAAGTGCATTCCTATTACAAATATAATTTAAGTTGGCAAAAACATTAAGAAGAGAAGATGGAATGTTTATGTAAAAATTCATGTTGAAATTGATTATTCATGGAGCCTTCATGCACTATGCCTTGTTGGATTGCCTTTATAATTGTTTGATTTTTATATACTCTTCTATATTTTTTTCATAATTAATTTACATGTAACTTGTAGTATTAGCAGAACATTTGATAAAAAAAATCTAAATTTTTATCATAATTTTCAGGTGAATCGGGGCTTGGTAAGTCCACCCTCATCAATTCTCTCTTCCTCGCTGACCTGTACAGTTCAGAGTACCAAGGTCCCTCCCACCGGATACAGAAAACTGTTAAGGTGTGTATGTGTGCCAAAATTGACTGTGAATAACGAGAATTTCTTTCTCATTTTTGATACCATGATTTTATCTCATGTTTATTTTCTTATCATCTTCATACTTGCAAATTTTAGACTGTAATTGCACTTTCAGACTTTCTTTCCTCCACTTAATGCTTGAAGGTTTTTTTCTTTTCTTTTTTTTGTAGAATTTTTGATGAAAATGTTAGTACATTAAGTTTTACAAAATTGCACTTTTCTGGCAAAACCACAAGAAAGTTGTTCTTGCTCTAAATATAGTTTTTACCCTTTATCAGTATCTGATTTAATATTTGGGATCAGTGCATTCTTAATACATTTGCTTCAAGGTCTTAATATTTGTTTTCATGAGAATCAAATTTAAGAATTAATGCATGAGGTTGCTATTGAACCAACTACTGGGAAGTGAGGGAAAATAAATATCAGAATTAATGTACTTCATCATTATAAACTGTTGATTCATTTAGATAGTTTATTTCTTTTGATAGATTTATCTGAATTCCCGTCGGCCATTTATAATGCCAATCCAATCTCCAATTTATATTTTGCAGCTAATCAATGATATACTGCTACCTAAATTTTCTGCGTTTTTCATCATTTATACCATCTGTCTTGAATCCTTCAGCATAGTATTTAATGGATAGAAATGACTAATGATATGCTCTCAGTTTTTCTCTTTGAAAAGAAGATAACATCATTTATTGGATTTCATTTACTAATTTGATTTTTTTCACTGCAGGTTGAAACCACACAATGTCTTCTGAAGGAAAATGGAGTTCAATTAAACCTGACCATTGTAGATACTCCAGGATTTGGGGATGCTGTAGATAATAGTAACTGGTAGGCAGAAAGACAATCTACAGTAAAACACAGTTACACCAAACAAGCTTATAATGAATTCATGCTTACAGTGAAGTGATTTTCATTCCTATGATTTATAAAAAGTTTTATGAACTTCATGGATATAATGACTTATATGTATAACAAATCATAATTGCTTGTCCATCACCTGGCTTCAAGGTTACTTTGCTATAAGCCTGTTTTACTGTAACTGTGCCTGGCTAAGGGGTTTCATAAATTTATAATTATAACTCATTATAAACTAGTGTTGGACAAATATGTCCCATCCAAGGGAAATCCACAACTTTCAGTATAACCTTGCAACACTGTAAAGCAGTACAATCACCTACATTATTAGCCTCATGGACATAGGGAAGGATTTAACATTCAGAGAGACGAAACAAGGCAATAATTCATTATGGAGGAATATTTTTCCTGTTGCCCGTTTTACAAAATTTTAAAATATACAGATTTGAGCACTTTGTATGTGTATGATGTTCCTGGTTAGCTATAGCTAATAGATTTCAAGTTTAATTCAGTACCGTTCTCTCTTATTTAATATGTTAAAAAAAAAGAACTTCGGAAGTGTAACAGCATTAAATGCAAGCTTTCAACCAGACACAAACTTCAACAAGGAAGATAAAATGAATCAATTTACAAGCACATTTCTCCCTTTCAATCCATATAAACACAGTACATTGTAAGGGTGATGAAATCAGAACAGATGATTGATTTCTCCATTGTGTGGACGCTAATAATCTGAAGGTTCTAATCACATGTAGTTAGACATCTAACAACACTGACCCACTTTTCTGAAGCCTCTATTTCCTCTCTAAAATGATCCATATTACATTTAAAAACTTGTCTTGCTTCCTTTCTGGAAAATGTTTATTTCTTTCTCTGAGGAATTTTGTTAGATTGAGGAAGATGATATAAGTGCAAAATAAAAATAGAAATCTTGTTATATTTTTTGCATTTGTAACTGCATTTAGGTTTAGGGGGAAAAATGATGTTTCAGTTGTTGTTTTGCAATTGAAGTTTTGAGGAGTTCCTCTCTCTCTCTTCCTCCCAAATACACACACATTTCTGTGCAAATTTATCTTGGAAGTTGTATGGGTTAGAATCTTTAATAACTTTTAAAGATATTAGTTTTTAAAAAAAATACCTGTGACGAGTCTTCATTTTTTCAGATTGTGCTTTAAAAGTGCAAGAAAAGCTTAATTGCTGCTTTTGAGGAGTAAATATATTCTTTAAAAAGTTTTTTTTTAAATTGCAGCTGGCAGCCAGTCATAGATTTCATAGACAGTAAATATGATGAATATTTAAATGCGGAGTCACGAGTGGTGCGATCCCCCACACCTGACACCAGGGTCCACGCCTGTCTGTATTTTATTGCTCCCACAGGTCATGGGTTGGTATTTCTTAAAACAATGTGAATGGATATGATTGAGATACAAGAACAGTTTTGCTTAAAAGTTTTTCTCTTATCACATATATTGGCAATGTATTTGACAATTTTTTTGAACAAAGAAGAAAATTAAGATGGCCGAGAATTTTTGTTTAAAATGAAGTTACTTTTGCAGTCTTAAGCCCTTAGATGTAGAGTTTATGAAGAGGCTACATGACAAAGTGAATATAATTCCACTCATCTCTAAAGCAGACACTCTCACTCCAGACGAATGCAGGGAATTTAAGAAAACTGTAAGTTAAATTTAAATGCAGCAACAGATGATGAATCATAAGTTTTAATACATTTTTTTTCTCCGATTTGCAAAATAAAAATTCTTGAGTCATATTTAGCTAGCAGTTGATTTAGATTTGAAAAAAAGATTATTTTCTTTAAAAGTTGAGAGGGAACAAAGAGCTAGTGGGAGATCATTATAGGCATTACAAACTTAAAATAAAAGTTAAGCTGTTGAAAATGATTGTAATAATACATTGTGAAAAGTACATCACTTGTTCAAACTTGTTAAACCAATGTCAAGAAAATCATCTATGTATATTGATAGGTTGATGTGATTATTTCGAGTTACAAAAAATTAAATTCATAGTTTCTCAGGCCAAAAATTTCAAAATTCAGTGTGGCAGGGAAGTTTTTTTTTTTTTTTTTTTTTTTAGAAGCAGGTGTTATACCTTTTTTTCAAGTCAGTTGTTCAACAAAATGATGATATAAACTGATTTTTACTTTTTTTGTTCTCTTACATCAATTATAATATATAATGTTATTCCTAACAAAGTTAATTCGTAAAATACTGTATTAACAAGAAATGTGTTGTTTATGTTGTATTGTTATTAAGAAATTTATTGTTTAGCATTTATGAAAAGGGGAATAACTCAATTTTCTTTTTCAACTTGGACAAGTAGAAAATTGAGTTATTTCCCTTTTCAATATTTCGTTAAAATTGGTCAATGCGGCAGTGTTTGACCTGATGTGGCGGTGCCTGAGAAACTATTGATTAATTTTTGTTGGCCTAATTAACGTATACCATATGCTTAATGTTTGCTTTGGCATAGACAGAAAAAATGTTCATTTTCAGATTGAATTCTTTGTTTCTCTTTAATAAAGTTTTGACATGAAATTTAACATGAATCATCAGTTTGAATATTTTTTTTTTCTCTCTAATTTGCACAATAAAAATTCTAGTGTCATATTTTGCTAGAAGTTGATTTAGATTTGAAAAAAAAAGTTATTTTCTTTTAAAGTTGAGCAATTGGAGAAAGATGAATAAAAACTTTTAATTACAATTGTTGGCATTTCTTTGTAGATTCTCAACGAAATTGCCCAACACAAAATTAAAATTTACGAGTTCCCAGAATGTGATGATGAGGAGGAAACAAGAGTTCAGAAGAAATTAAGGGTAGGTTATATATACTGCAGGGATATAATTACAAAGGGATAAAAGGGGTCAAAATGGATGTGTGTGTACATTTCAAAATTCATGTAAAACAAACGGGGAAGGTTGCATAGCATTGTATTTCATGCCAAATGATATTTGGTGACCGAAGAGTAAAAACTAGGGTTTTTCAAATTCTTCATAACGTATTTATGATAAAAGAAGGAAATATACAGTGTGGGAAGGAAATATTAGCTCAAAGGGTGTTGTATGGATATTGTTTGGTATCAACAGTATTGAATTTCATATTAATATGCTTGTATTGACCTTAGTTTGCACTCTGTGGCATAACCTTATATTTAATTCAAAAATGAACTGCCTCAGTATTTGACACAGCTCCTTTACCAATTTGCTGCATGCACCAAAACTACATCCAATTGCAAGTCATTGTACAAAGGGCATTAAGCACAACAGGAAAAATGATCTTCTCCTAAGCATTGGCTGAAATTTTTTTTCCCAAATGTTTGAATAACTGAATGAACTTTTAAATTTAAGGGGATGAAGGACACATGGTCACATGACTCTGTTTAACTATGTCATAGTCTCCGTTTATGTAAGTGCAAAACGTTTAAAGCATCAGTTCTTGTATAATTTTTTTATACAATTTTTTTACTATTAATTACCATCTTATATAAAAAAAATTATAAAGTTTTAACATTCTTGTAAACATTAACAAATTATGAAAAAGATTGATCCACTCCTCTGTTTCCCTAAACTGCACGTCCAACAAGTCGGTGACGTCATGCACGATCTGTTAGTACAGCAAGATCATACTCAGTGAACAGAGGGGCGGTATTATTATGTAAAAACAGGTAATAATCAGTATATGATGAACTATTTTGAGAAACAGGAAACACAAAAATTATTTTTGCATGGCTGATCTTATGTAGGTATATCTTATTTCGCTTATTTAGCTTACGTGTGACGTCATAGTTGGTTTTTCCCGTACTCGGCAAATGTAACATGACACGTTTTTGTCATGCTTAGGTCCTCTTTAACGATGTCCTGTGAAATAATGAGGTCAGCTTCATCATTCGAAACTTTTACAGTTAATCAATAATTTGAAGGATTTGCATTTCAACGTAAATTAGAAAATATTGAATGATAGAATTTTTTGTAAATTACGTTTTTTATTGCAGGGTTCTCACTAGGATTTTGCTAACTTGAGTCCCAGGACTCAAGATTTCTGAGAAGGTTGCGTCCCAGCTAAATTTGATGCGTCCCAGAAAAATTATGTTGAGTCCCAACTAAAATATTGCAGTATTCTTCCATCCAAACATCAATAAAAATCTTTTTCATTTTATCAGTTTGTTTACGCAATATTAACATATTCAAGTATATAAACTGGTAATGCATTCAAGCCATATTCTAAAATACACGCGTAATCAATTGCCATAAAATAACTTGGTGTTTATAAAGCTAAAATTAACTGTTGCATAATCAACTAGTACCCAAAAGTTGACTGTGTACAATCACAGGTGTCATGTGCAATGAGGCGTAACTAATCCTGTCGGTCGTCTGCACTGGGTGAAATTCACGAGATAATCAAGCCCCATTGTGTATACAAGCAGTAATTATGGTTTCTGCATGTAGATAACACTCAAGATTCAAAAGTGTTTTTTTTTTAAGTTTGGCATGCGACACTATTATGACTGGACTAATAAACATGAAATATCTTATGATCAATCCCTGTTTAAAAAAAGTGAAATAAGTACAAGAAAAGTTGTTTCTTGGATAAACTTTATGATAGTTACATGAAGGTTTCAATTAAATATTTCTTTGACAAATCCTAACATCTAAATTCCCCGTTTTCGAAATCTCCCGAATTTTCTCGCTAACGAGGACGCGTCCGATCACGAGTCCGCGGACGCATCGTTTTTAAGAACCTTGCGTCCCAAGGAATTTTACTGCGTCTAGGACGCAGATTCTTGCGTTAATGAGAACCCTGTTATTGTTTGTCTTAAAAAGTGCGTAATTTTCCCTATCCAGATGCAGTGTGATAGACAAAAGTTGCTTTTTCGAATTTTAAATCCTAGTTATACTCTGAAATATTTTAAAAGATACATGTCCACTTTGATATTTGTTATGTATTCTTAAAAAATCCCATTATGGACAGAGTAATGCGCTCGGAAAAATGGAGAATTAAAACTCCACTTAGATACTGTAGGACATAGTATTTGTCAATCAATATCTCTAAAATAAGGTAAGAAACCTGATGATACAACTGCTTTAAGATATGTGGGACATACTTAATTAGAAATATATAAAATATGAAAAAAATTGAATGACAAGTATTTTTTCAGCTCAAGGTCCTTCTCCTCCTAAAGAGTAGCAACATGGTTCTTGTATGTAATCAGTATTCCAGAATGTTTTATTTTTTATCATAGGATCGAGTTCCCTTTGCAGTTGTAGGCAGCAATCGTGTAATTGAAGCTGGTGGAAAGAAAGTCAGGGGGAGACAATACCCTTGGGGTATTGTGGAAGGTAAGATGAATCGGTTGTTTTTTTTTCTTCCTCAACATGACTTCTGAAATACCAATACAGTTAATACAAATTCTCCGATGTCAGATAATAGATACATTTACACTCAATCTTTGAAATGCAAGTAAATATCTATTAACTAAAACTTTGTATTTTTACCTAATTTTCAGTTGAAAATTTGGAACACAATGACTTCATAGCCTTACGGAACATGATCATTAGGTACAATTAGCTTTTCACGTAACGCCATCTTTTATTTTTGATTAAAGCAATGGATACAAGAACAATTAACTTTTCAGAAATATCTCAAGAAATTAGAATAAAATGAGATTGAAAACTTTGTTAAAATTTATTATCAAAATACAGATGAAAAGTTAACTGAATTTTAACAATCTAAGATTAACCAAAGCAAACTGATTTACAGGACGCATATGCAAGACTTGAAAGATGTCACCAACAATGTTCATTATGAAAACTTCCGGTATAATAAGTTGGCACCTTCTTCAGCCGATGGCAACAAAATCAAACCAGGGTCACTATCAAAGTAAGTCTGGCTTCTCCATTTTAAAGAAGACTAAAGTAGATTCAAGAACACTTAAGAAATATAAAACAGATAATATTTATTCAGGTCTTATCCTGTAGTGAACTGTGTACTGTTAGAAATGGGGATGAGTGAAGGTTCCATTATAGTATGAAGAAAGTAATACTTTTTATACAGATTGATCATATTGTAGAAGTAAAATAAATGATAATGCCTGGGCACGTACTGTTGAAACAGCAAAACATAACTAGCTAATACTTCTAATCAGAAATAAGTAATTTCCGACAGTCAAAAGCACATGATTTAATTCATGGATGGAGTGTTGTTTCTGTAATTTTTGCAGGATATCCACACACATAGTACTTTCACATTTTCATTATTCTCTGGCTCTACTGTAGGGAGTGGATAAGAATCCAGCAAGAGTACCTGTGGTATTTTTTTTTTAAGATAATGCTTCAGAAAGCTTACATATGAGTCTTTTTTGTCTTGCAGGGACCCTCTATCACAGATGGCCGAAGAGAAAAAGGAGCATGACAACAAAATGAAGAAGATGGAAGCCGAGATGGAACAAGTGTTTGAGATGAAGGTCCAGGAGAAACAATCAAAGCTCAAGGAGTCAGAAGCAGATGTAAGTGTTATTACTTATATATAGTGCCACTGTGTATACATTGTATTGTAGAGAGTTCAGCAGATATTTAGGTTATGTATGAATCGTGACTTCAGTAAGGATTGGAGATAATATAAGAAGAATTGGTATTGAAAAAAATCTCTGGATTTTCTTGCTAAGCTTTCATAGCTGACTTCAAATGAAACTTAGCTGAGTGAAGGTTTATTGTAAATTTTTTCTACAGCAAGGTATCAATTGAGGCCTTAATGTAAATATTTTTGAGTTGATACTGGGCATGATTTTCACTTTATGTAGCAGATGCTATACATATTAATATTATTGTCTTAACATTTAAAACACCCAAAGTATATAAATTTGTGTTTGTTGTATTATCTACTGAGCCATTGGGATCATTTTATAGCATTAAGCCTGGCAAGTAAGAGGTTAACATTATTTAAACAAAATGTCAGCATTGGCATTCTTTTCAGTATTTTTGAGAAATTGTTGTTGATGTTTGACTTGATATTGTCTATAGCTTCAAAGGCGAGCAGAGCACATGAAGAAGAGCTTAGAGCAGCAACAGAAAGAACTAGATGAGAAATGGAAAGCATTTGAGAAGGAAAAAGAGCAGTGGGAAGATTCTGTGGGGCTCAGCAAAGGGTCACAAGAAAACATTAAAGAGTAAGACTGATCTTCCTACAAGTGTTAAACAGTGTTTCATACTGACCTTCTAAACTGTTGAATAATTTGCTGTGGGGCATTTGTGGTCTGATTTTATCGATATCCTTGATATTACTGCTACATACATATATTTTTTTTGAAAAGCACTGATATGGGAAAAAAAAAATTGTAATACATATTTATTCATTTTTTTTCTTTTCAGTTCACATAAAAAGAACAAAAAGCACATATTCTAACATCAGTAACTTAAGAACATACTTAACCATTAATGTAAAGACAGTACCATGTGGTCTGTGTCATAATTCAGGAGGGGGGAAAACTGCTTGCTGATGGAAGAATGAGGAATACAACATGGTCATCCTAATTACAGTGAAGTCAAGGAACAATCACCCCAAAAGCACTGACCAAAGAACCAAAACTGCACAGGCAATTTGCCAAAATATGTAAACTTTTGTGTTTCAAACTAATGTCAATACATAAAATTTACCATTGTCACTTTTGTAAGAAATACCTTATGATAAAAAAAATTCCAAGTTTGTCCTTATTTTGCTAATGAAGTGTTGAGTGTTTACTTTGCTACAGCACATGTTTGTATATGAAAAATGAATAATTATGAACATTTCTTAAAAAAAAACAAAACCTTATGTCAATGCTTCATATGTACATGTATTAACCGTGTGTTATAATTTTTGCATGTTGTTTTCGTAGAAATGCTAATTATTGGTGCAATTCAAGGGCAAAAGATCTGTACTTTGTTGTAATTTTGTGCGAGTTTTTTTTACTGTAAATTGCTGTTGCTTTATGTTTTTGTTTGATACGAATTAAAGCAATACAGTGTGTAAAAAAAAAAAATTTGTAAAATGTCAGAGAGTCTTTTGCCAATTTTTCTCTGGCAGCTAGTTAAAATATCTAAAACAATGTTAAAGAGTTAAAAAGGTACTACACATTTTATAGGTAAGGGGGAGGGACCACAGATTGATGGAATCCAATGTTTTGTATGTCTAGTCATGAAACCCTTCATTGTTTCCATTTCTTTGGATGTTTATATTCACACCTTGATTGCATAATTAGATTAGCTCATGCATAAACCCTCCCCTATGTGTGCAGTGAGGAAACATTACTGCATTTCAATGACAGTCAGAAATCTAATTTCACTTTTTTTTTTCATTTTTCTAGTATGCATTGCAAAACAACTCGGATCTTACACACATGTACAATTGAAAGTGTTGAATTAGCACTGACCATACCAAATCTATGCATGCATTGCAACAGTATGGCGGCCTAAAATCAGTTTTATATCAACTTATTTTACATTTATTTTTTTTTTTTTTGCTCATTGTATGAATGTATAATGTACTTGTGTATGACTTATACCATAGTAATTTATTATCGCCATATATAAGTCCAGTTCCCACTTCATTTATATCACTCTTCAACTTATGAAGTTCACAGAATTCTTGTATGCATTTCACAGAGGAGTTCCTATTTTATAACCATTTCTTAGAATTTACCTGAAATTGAATATGAAAGAAGTTTAAAATTGTGTAGATTTGTGTAAAAGAAGCCTTGCATATACAATCTATTTCCCAGATTACTATTAAAAAGATTTTTTTTTTTGAAAATATTATGTTTACTGTTAAATTTGAATCAAGCAATCTCATTTAATCTTAGATTTTACTTATTTCATACCAGTTAAAGTATTGTTGTGCATATTTATTGTGTACTTTTTTTACAACTATTCATAAATAATTAACTTAGAATTTACAAAATGGAAACAATAAATGTTTTATACATGTAATTTCTTTTTTATGTGTATTCATTTTAATACTGTATACAGGGTTATTTTCGCCCTGTTTTATTTTTACTCTCTCACACTTGCAAACAATTTTGCCCCGTTTTAAATTGGCCCATTCACAGTTCTGTTTAAGAAATTATACTGCCTTCTTTGAATTTGCCTCTTAAATTTGCCCACTTATGCCTAGGGCGAAAGGAGCGAAAATAAAATGGAGGCGAAAATTTCCCTGTATAAGGTAATTACTTTGTTTTATGAAAATGTTGAGTCCAGCCTAGGATTAAGAATAGTGCAAATGGATTCTTGGATAAGGATGTTGGGGTGGAGGTAGGAGCAGATGGCTTCTTGAACAAGGATATTGAGGTTTAGAATGGTAAGGATGGCCTACTGGACAAGTACATTGAGATTTCAGTGGAGCAAATTGCTTCCTGAACATGGACATTAAGGTTTAGTTTGATGTAGTTGGCATTTGGACGGGGATATTTGGATAAAGGGTGGTGCAGATGGCATCCAGGACAAGTACCGGGTATATTGGGGTTTAGGGAGATGCAGTTGGCATCCAGGACAAGGATATTGGAGGTAAGGGTGGTGTAATTAAGGTGGTGCTGATGGCTTCCTGTACAAGAATATTGGGGTTTAAGGTGGTGCAGATGGCATTTGGTCAAGGATATTGGTATTTAAAGTTTTGTAGATGGCCTCCTGGACAGGCACATTGAGATTTAAGGTGGTTCAGTTGGCCTCTTGAACAGGGATAGTGAGGTAAAGGGTATTGCAGATACATTTCCTGGTTAAGGATATCGAGTTTAGGGTGGTGCAGATGGTGTTTTTGACAAGGATATTGGGATCTGCAGTGGTGCAAAAATGGCCTTTGAACAGGGATACATGTATTGGGGTCTAGAGTAGTGAGATGGCATCTGGAACATTTGGACTAAGGGTAGTGCAGATGGACTATTGGCGAAGGATTTTAGAGTGCATGGTGCAGATGGCCTTTTAGACAAGGGTATTTGGGTTTAGGGTAGTGCAGATTGCCTTCTGAAAAAGGTTGGGGACTAGGATGGTGTAGATGGCCTTTGAATAGGGATATTGGGGTCTAGAGTAGTGCAGAGAGTCTCTTCGACAGGGATACAGGTGTATTGTCATTTAAGGTGGTGCATACGACTCCAAAACAAGGCTTTTGGGGATTAGAGTTGTGCAGATTGCCTCCTGAAAAGGGGTGGGGACTAGGGTAGTGTAGATGGCCTTTGAACAGGGATATTGTCATTTAAGTTGGTGCATGCGACTCCCAAACAAGGAAATTGGGGATTAGGGTGGTGCAGATTGTCTCCTTGATGAGGATAATGGTGTTAATGGTGATGCATATAGTCTCCTGGACGAGGATATTGAGATTAAGGGTGGTGCAGATTGCCTCCTGGACAAGAATATTCTGATTTAGGGTACAGCTGTAAGCATATTGTCTCCTACACATGGATATAGAGTGCACATTGTATCTGCAGTGCAGCACATGCATTTTGGGATGGTGCAGATGGCACCCTGGACAAGAATATTGGGTAGGGATCATTACGGTCTCATCTGAAGGACTGGTCTCCACGTCACGCAGTAGATTCGAACCCACGAGGATCAAATCCTTACTCCGTGACTCTAGAGCAAACGCTCTAACCACTGCGCCACGCGGGCGACCATGTTTTTAAAAAGTCTGTTTAGTCTGTTATTCATGAGTTTAAGTCAAATCAACGAGCTTAGGGATGCTTGTGTATATTTATGTGGCTATTTATAGCCTTGCTGTATTTGGGTGGGGTGGGGGTTTAAAGAAATTTCCTTTTAAACTTAAAATTCTATTGTGGTCTCACCCTTGTCCTAAGGAACACGATGGGAAAAATTTAAATTTGCATTACTCGGGAATAGTGGAATATTTATTTTTTATTCAAATTTTCTTTATTCAACATTTTTTTTAAAATCTTCTATACATTTGAGAGCCTTTATAGAGTTCAACTCTTACCCCAGGGGTGTGACTTGAAGAAAACTGAATCACACCCCATATACATGTAGAATATTTCCATATTAATTTCTGATTTTAGTTTTTAGTCTTTTTTGTTTTTGGAATGAATTTTCCATTTATATATTTCTACGCAAAACTTCGGACAGCCCTTGTCCAATATCCCTGTCGAGGAGACTATCTGTACCATCCTAAACCCCAATATCCCTGTCCAAATGAGATCTGCACAACCTTAAACCCCAACACCCTTGTTCGGGATGCCTTGGAAATCTGTAACCACCCTTAATCCCAATATCTCTCTCCAAAACATCATCTGTATCCCTGTCCAAATGCCCATCTGCACTACCCTAAACCCCAATATCGTTTTCCAGAGGCCATGTGAACTACCCTTAACCCCAATATTAGATAGTTCACGAGTATTCGAGTACTCTGTTATCGCACGGTCTTACATACTATTTATTTTTTCTTGGTTACTCGTTTAAAAACGTGCTATTTCATAGTTATTCTAAATTCAAACTAATAAATTGGTATATTTCTTTTCTTCAGTTTCTCTATATGTGTTAAACTTTAGACCCTCCTCAAATGTTGTGGATCAATATTTTTAAAAAGAATTATTATATGTATATACTTACGCATACATGTAATCTGGGAGGTAGATGTGTGTATATTTGATATTTCTTTTGATGTCTTATATGAATGAATTTTATGACTGGATTTATCTGCAAAAAATGAATAAATAAATATATAAATAAATAAAATAATTAAATAATGTTTACCGCAATCCTTTCTTTCTTCTATGTTTTGCTGACTAGATCATAATGTTTATTAAGTCATGGGTCAATAGTTTAGCTGGAATTATACAAAAATGACCGAGAGTAATAGATCAATTACATGTATTAGTGTTTTAATCAGAAGAAATGACAAGTCACTGATAGGATTAATAAACCGTATTCAAATAAAATATCCGGTAAAAATCTAAGTCAAATACACGTAGTACAGGTATTTATTTCTACTAAGTAAATACTTGTTTTAAAAAAAATACGTTGTACATGACAGTAGCAAACTTAAAAGGACATGAAGTTAAACTGACATAGGAAAATTTATTTGAACAAATACTCGAGTATCAGGCGACTAAAAACCCCAATTATTCAGCATGGGTATCCAAGTGAAATTGGCATCTAAAGGGCGTATAAATGTCTAGTGTCGCAGCAGATGCTTGCACGAAAAAGACCCCTCACTGCTCGGAGATCGTAAGTGCCGAGTACAGATCTAAATTTGCATCCCTCCCCAGCAAGTGCAGGCGTCTCAATTTGATTAGTGGACACAGGCCCGTAGGAAGCAATTTCACTTCGAGGGGGCACAGCCATATATTTTCAGTTGGGGGGGGGGGGGGGCACTATCAACTATCAAAAATTAATTGACAAGCACAAAAAAAAAAAAAAAAAAAAAAAGAAAAAAAGAAAAAAAGTCATTAGACATTATTATTCAGGGGGCACAAGCATCTAGTAACTATTTTACTTATACATAATTTTATTCACATGAAGTGAATGGGATTAGGCAGCAGGTATAGCCTATTTTAGCCCTCTCCCTCTAACCATAGGCGTCGGAAGCAAATTGAAAGTGGGGGGGGGGGCTAATTGAAAGAGAAAAAAATTTCAAACCTGAAAAAAAATTGACAAGCAAAAAAAAAAAGGAAAATTAACAATTGTCCAAACCCGAAAAATCCTAGTTCGTGGGGGGAGAGAGGGGGTGGGGGGTGGGTTAGCATGGATCGAACTTCTTTCAGTACCACTTACCATTCTTTGATTACACTGCAATGTGCCTGTTGAAAGTGGGGGGGGGGGGGCTAAACCTACTCCCCAATGTTCAATGCCTTTATTATGTCTATCTTTGCAAAAAAAGTGTGTGTGTGGGGGGGGGGGGGCTATATTTTCTATAGTATTTAGTATATTGGCAAAATTATTGGAGGGGGGGGCAGGACCCCCCCCCCCCCGGTTCCTACGGCCATGGAACAATTCTCAAAAGGACGTTAAACATGGAAATATATATTGGAACTCCACGTACATGTATATATAATGATTAGTTGTGTACATGTATACAAGTTATCTTTCTTAGAGTGTATGGCAGGTCTCAATTTGTATAACATTTTCCCCATTTTGTTTTGTATATATTACAGGTTTACTCCTTATTACAGTGGATATGACTCATATATGATATCGTTTTCAATTCCACGGTTGTGAAGTCACAATGGTTTTGCATGAATTTAATCAAGTCAAATATTTTGGATTTACACATATAAAACAGTGTAAAACATGAAAAAGCTATGAGTAAAACATAATCTCCGATAGTTTGTGGTTGGTTATAATTTTTTTTTTATTCAACTCTTTTAAAAAGATTATTTATTTTATGTTTAAACAAGATGTGTTTGTGAAACACTGATGCCCCCGTATGGCAGCTTATGGCGAAGGTTAAAGTTTCTTCAAATGCAAGTCAAAATCCAGGCCAAAAGATAAGAAATGTTGATACCCAAAGAAAGGTCTTGTCTCGAGGAATACACCAGTGAAATTTGAAAGACCTAGATACAACTGTTCAGAATTTATGGCGAAGGTTAAAGTTTTTTAAATAAAAGTCAAACGTCAAGGTCAAAGTGGTTGGTATCCAAAGGAAGATCTTGTCACAAGGATTACATATGTGAAGTATGAAAGCCCTAGCACCAACCATTTAAAAGTTATGGCCATGGTTAAAGTTTTTCAAAAGTAGGTAAAACTCCTAGGTCAAGGTCAAAGGGTCAAAGTGGTGGTTGATATCCAAAGAAAGGTCTTGTCGCAAGGATTACATATGTGAAGTATGAAAGCCCTAGCTCCAACCATTCAAAAGTTATGGCCAAGGTTAAAGTTTTTCAAAAGTAGGTCAAACTCCTAGGCCAAGGTCAAAGGGTCAAAGTGATTTATATCCAGAGGAAGGTCTTGTCACAAGGAATACACATGTGAAGTTTGAAACCCTAAGCACCAAC